CAATACGAGCCAAACGACTCAACATAATTATTTCTGAGTGCTGTTGGTTCTGAAGGAGAAATCCTTACATCAGGCACGTGACAGACATAACCTGGTACCCATTGAAGGCTGGGTCCACTCGGGAGCCACATTCATGGTTGAAAAATAATCCGGTACCATGCGGATTTCAACCCATGAATTTCGGACCCGTAGGCGAGCGCCTAGCCGCTACACCTCGGTGATTCGCAGGTAGCGTTGTGCTCATGAACTTTTTTTAAAATAAAAAAGGGAGTTTATTCTCACGACAGAGTGTTTTATGCAGAGTCTATTGCAGTAGCATTGAAAACAATGATTCTCTTAAAAGTGCCGGCACTGCGTACTATTGCGTACCACCAGGAAAAAAAACGGTGGACTTACAGACGGGACGAAATGGTGACTTTGCAATACGTATAATGTTGTATATAGTGTCGCTGTGATAGCAATTATGCGACTACCTTCACGACGAGAGTGACAATCTTACAGTTGGTTCATCGAATAGACCTCTACGGAAGAGCCGCGTTAAGAGGCTCGCTTTCAAATCCATCTGTGACTCGCTGCAGCCCATAATTGGTGTTCGAAACCGGGCGGCTCCCGGGGTTTACCCAGCCCCTAGGAAATGTGTACCATAGTTGACACTCTGGGATAAATGGAGGAAAGTCGCTGTAGCTACAGAGTTACGTGCGGACGGCGACACAGGCGGACAATTCTTATCAGCTGTCCGTACTGGTGGCAGAGCACTTATGGTTTATAACCGTGTGCAATGACGCTGGTTCACATATCGCGACTTTACCTTTTTTTTTACAACAACAACAACAAAACAGTCCTGCCTGTGGCTAGACCTTGTATGCTGTTCAGCATCGAGACTAATTTTTTTCTTTATTAGGCTCAGCATATGTCGACACAGCCTGAAGTGGGTACAGGGTAATATCCTGGGAGGTAAAGACGGCAGATGTGATGTTAAGTGCGTCATCTCCATTGAGTGCTGACTTGTCTATAAAAGTATGTCTAACAGCATATATCTCTGGAAACACTGGACTTTTACATATGTTGTAGTTGAAAAAAGAATCGACATCATAGCACTCGGTACACTTTCATAAGCGATCCATCCCCATCTTCAGCAGCATACGAAGAGTTCAAATTTCGATGTCACCAGTAACTGTCTGATTGTCTCGCCTTCCCTCGAGTGTTGAGCCTCGGCCAGATCCGATGGTAACTCCTCGCAGCGCCATTCTCCTCAGACCGTAATGATCCATTTGCAAATTTTACAAATGTGCCCCATTGTGGATTCGAACCTATTCTCACTCTTCAGTATGCGACAGTGTTAGCCACTGCAACATTGCAGACCCTGCACACGCAGTAATCGCGTTAAAAATAAGAGCTGACACCCTATACATTGAAATATGTTAACTTGATATCTGGCAAAATGGAAGCCCGAAGCAAATCAAACATACTATGAAAGAATGTCAACTTGATTTTTTCCCCTAACTGTTTTTGATTCATTTGTACTTTGGCAATTCATTCACTGTTCTACATTAAACAGATTCGTCAGTATTGTACAGTAAATAATAAATACATCGCCAGAGTTGTAATGTCAATAATGTATGGGGGAGTATGAAACATCGATCAGGGATAGAGTAATGTCACTGGAATTTTCAATAAGTAAAACTCCACAGGGGAGCATGCACAGCAGGGGTCCACCGATCGTCAGTAGAAAGGTCTCTCGTCGACGATTGTTTCGGCCCATTATCTTCCTAGACAAACTCGGAAGGTGGACCGACCTGGTTCATAACTTCAGGCCTCGGACATTCCCTGATGTACTTTATCGGACTTACAGACAGGACGAAATGGTGACTTTGCAACACGTATAATTTTGTATATAGTGTCGCTGTGGTAGCAATTATGCGACTGACTACCTTCACGACGAGAGTGACAATCTTACAGTTGCTTCATCGAATAGACGTTAGACTGACAAATGGCAAAGAGACACTGGCAGACGTTTTTATCGGTGGCTTTTTTTAATATGAAGAAAAGTTATTTTCCACTAGGATCTCGGACAAGTCTACAGATACCCATCACCCACGACGTTCCGTTGCGTTACGGCAGCTCGCAGCCTTTTTTTTTTTTTTACTGCTTCGCTAAGCTTTTTTTTTTTTTCGTTCATTTCTTCGCAAGCCTATGTACCTTTACATAGTATGTGGAAGCTGGGATAAGTCCTCTTGCGCCTACCTCGACGGCGTAAATTTTTACTGCGTACTCTATCCTCAGACCAGCGACCAGATTACAATACTTTTCGAGCTTGTAAGAGTTATTTTTTTTTTTCATCCGCGACTCGTACGGCACGGTCAGCTCTATCAAGATGAGCTGACGTTTTTTTCCCCGCAGTGCAGCTTCATGTCTAGTGTCAGGCCTGTCTTTCAGATTGATTCTGGGTACTTCTCAAAACCAGGCAGGTCGACCGCCAGGAACCAGTCCCTCAAGTACTGATGGAGCGTATGCGACCTTGTTGACTTTGCCTTTAGAAATATGCCCAGCCTTAAGTAAGCGCATGAGGGAGGGAGTAGGGAGGGGAGAAGGGGGGGGGGGGGGGGTGCTGTTTACGCTAGGACAAGGTGATTGTTATTTTGTGAGATAGCTAAGTAAGAGATAAAATTATTTAGTTAATACAGTAGGAACAACACTTTTGACTACAATTGCGTGTCGTGGATACTCACTGCGGAACAGCAGCACACACTATTTGCTGTCGACATTTTCACTATATAGCCGCCACTATTCACCACAATGGCGCACAGGTCCGACGAGAATAGACCAAATTATTATAGACCAATTGATAGATTATATGGTTAACATCACTCCAGCTGCCTTTACTCTCCTTGGCATTTCCTGGTTTCTGTTTTAGGATACGTCGACTATGAGTCGAACCCGACATCTCGGGGCTGGCGACAGCTTAGCCACTGTATTTCTGCGGCTTGCTGTAGAGGAGTGGGTTTTAACCTAGGAGTACAAGGATGTTCAGGGGAGTGGTTCGGGGGGGGGGGGGCAGTGGCTTAGTAAGATCATGTTGTGCAAAACGTATATTGATATATTTTTTTTTAAACACACACACACACATTCCTCAAATTTTGTCACCCCTCCCCACCCTCTTCTCCATCAACCCAGTGATGACACCCAGGAGGTCTGCACCCACCACACCTCGAACCCCCCCCCCCCCCCCCCCCCATCCTCCTTTTGTTATAAGCCACTGGCGGAAAGCGTCAAGTAATTTTGAAATTGAAAGCATTTGTACTTGTAATAATCCAAGACCTTCTTATAATTTCCCTGTTTTAATCAACAGTTGAAAAATAAGACTTGTGAAAATAAGGAACTTGCAGTTGAAATTCAGTCACATTTAGACTTTCTTGTAGAGGAGATAGACGCTTTCATCTTTTTAAGCTTTCATTAATCATTTTTTTTCTTGGAAAAAAAAGGGGGGCGGGGGAGAAGGAGGTGTGGTATCTGGCAATTTGCCTGCATGTGACCAAATTAGCTATTCATTTTCTTTTGCTGTCTCCCTCGTAATAAATCGGTGAATCCGGATTTTCAGCGTTAGCAGTTATAAAAACGAAACCGCTTTGCCAGCTTGATATGGAGAGTGATCGTTGTCCCTTGTCTAATGTCAAGCAGCAAAAACAGATACCATGAAGACAGAACAATGTCAACGACTACACTAATATTTGTACATTAATTTACCAGTTGTTGATAGCTGTTTCTTTTTTATTATTTGATACTTTGGTCTATGTGGATATTATTCTCCAAGTTATTGTTTATGGTGCTTAGTATTTTCTTCTTTTTGTCCCTATTTTAATCACACTGGGGGCGGGGTGAGGGGGAGGGTGGTGGTCTTGCTATGTATTCAATTGGATGCCACCTGAAAAAAAGGTTAAAAATGCAGTCACTGTGAAATAGTCATCAGAAAAGAACACTTTAATGTAGAGCAGTGTCCCTAGTGCCAGGCGAAATGTGCATAAAACGAAGTAGATGACAGCGATAGGAATGACTCTCCCTCCCTGTTCTGGTGATGGATCTAGAACGAGCTGCGACTAATGAACATTTCCTTGAGAGAAGAAGATATTTGGGTAGTCAAGACATAAAATTAAGTGATTCGTTATGTTACGCATATGGGACAAAAAAAGATGAAATCGTAAGTCTTTGGATCTGTACCGAGTGATATGATGACATCTCTCCCTAATCACTCATTCACCATCCTCAAAACCAGTGGTTCTCAGCCTTCCTAATGCCGCGACCCTTAAATACATGTCCTTATCTTGTGTCACCAACATACAATTATTTTCCTTCATACTTCACTAAATACGTGTTTTCCAATGGTCTTAGGAGACCCTGTGAAAGCATCGTTTGACCCCAAAAAAGGGTTGCGACCGGCAGGTTAAGAACCTCTGCTCCATATCATCCTAACGGTCGACTTAAACTTTTGCATGTTAAGTATGGTAGGGTGGAACAGTCTGCACTCTATCGCTCGATGAGTCGCACTACATCTTGTCATTCCTTGTCGATCTATAATATCTTTCATGTCATCAATCCATCTTTCCCAAGAACTGTCTTCTTGCGTACCCCTCAGATCGTATTTAGAAATCACAAGTTGCACACCAGAAATCATACCACGTTAGCATTTTGAAAGTGCCGTTACAATGTTAAATTTGGTATCTGGTGCATAATAAGTGAACGTGAGAAAACCGGAAACTCTGTAACAAGGCTACAAATTTGAACATCTGGTTACATTTGTTGTTACTTTAGATATCAGTTTTACTTAAACTATGAGCAACGCTGTGTATGTCTTGCAGAACCTTTCATAGGCCAATGCTGGTAAAAGATCCTTGAAGGCATATCTGACGCCATCTTCGCAAGGACCTGTGAAACGGGAGGATCTTCATCCCAAGGGTATATAGTATACTGTATTTAAATATTATATTATTTTCTAAGAGGATAACTAATAAAGATAAGGATAACTAATAAAGATAAAAGACTTTCCTGAAGACAAACACGGAGCAAATCAAAAATCTGTTAAGGACACTTAATTATTAATAATATCATAGAACGTTGGTAGAGAACGTCGTGGTTCTTGAATAAGGCTGCCGCAGTAACGTTTATGCTATTTTCACTGTCGTTATGATCCATTAGTGACTATGGATCTGGACCAGTCAAATGAATGCGTACTCGTGTGTCCCTCCGGGCTGCTACTTGATAAGTTTTACCAAGTGAGATTACAAGATCTCATTCAGAATGGCAGACCACAGGACCTGAAGGTTTGACATCACGAGACAAAAGAATTTCCTTGCTGAGGATATTAAAACAGACCCGATACCCTGTTCAGCCTCCAAGGAAGTAATAATGACGAGGGCACTAAAAACGTCAACACCAGCCCAGGGGAACCTGTCGTTCTGTACGGATCAAGGACTGACTTCGAGATTTACAGTGATGACCTGTCAAATGTCTTACAGCGGTACATGCAAGTATTTCTCAACCGTTGCTGCATTCAGGCAGACCCAACCCAGACTGATTGTAGTGAGTCATTTTCTCCTCATTAATTTATGCCCGATAGATGACGTCAGTAATAGATGTAAGACGAATGTTTTAACTGGCTGAGATAACACGAGATTTATGTCTTGAGTTTCATGAGAGACATCTGAAAGTCAGGTTTTAGGTGAAACATGATTGTTCACAGGATTTGTGTGAAATGTGAATTATCACGGGCCAGACACGACTTTCAACAGTGGGAAATTCGTGAGAATGAATCCAGAATATTCTAGAATAGGATAGATCAGAGGGCTATATAATAGCGAGGAAAAGGTTTGTGGGCAGTCTCGTTTTGGACCCAGGAAACAGTGTGCATGGACAGCGGTGGATGATGTGTGAATTCAGCAGATGGTTTTTGAGTGAATTTGTTCCAGTCCAACTTGGCGAAGAAAGCTGGCCAGTAAACATGTCTGCCCGTCGTCTGAGTGTATCTGTCAGGACAGCTGTTGTGTTTCGTTTACGATGTTAGTGTAAATCGATTGGGATTTCTGCTTGAAGGTAATAATTGATTCTTGCATTATAATGTGTGCCTGGACAGTTGTCAAGTTCATGTGCCGGCTGTGTAAGCCGCGAGTGGAAGAATAAAGTACTGGAACAGTATCGTGTTGTTTCCCAGTCGTCTATTTTTTCTGCTCGACGTGTGATGTCGGTTTTGTTAGTTGGCAGCGAGCGTGCGATGAGGCGAGCCAGTAGAAGATAAAAGAGAATCATCGCAGATGGGGGCTCGTCCGGGATTTGAACCCGGGACCTCTCGCACCCCAAGCGAGAATCATACCCCTAGACCAATTATTAAAAGCTTTTGTAGCCCAAGATGTAAACTGAGTACCTTTATCAGAAATAATAACTTCTGGAAAACCCACCCTTGAAAAAATTGTTAACAATGCCTCCTGAATATCATTTGATGTTATAAATTTCAGAGGTACACACTCAGGCCATTTTGTGGCAACATCAATAAAAGTTAAAATAAACCTGTCTGCCCACAAACCTTTTCCTCGCTATTATATAGCCCTCTGATCTATCCTATTCTAGAATATTCTGGATTCATTCTCACGAATTTCCCACTGTTGAAAGTCGTGTCTGGCCCGTGATAATTCACATTTCACACAAATCCTGTGAACAATCATGTTTCACCTAAAACCTGACTTTCAGATGTCTCTCATGAAACTCAAGACATAAATCTCGTGTTATCTCAGCCAGTTAAAACATTCGTCTTACATCTATTACTGACGTCATCTATCGGGCATAAATTAATGAGGAGAAAATGACTCACTACACTGATATAGCAATTTTCCTGTAACTACACAATTGGGATACTCACCAATATGATACTTGAAGGCAGGGACACCGGAATCTGTCTCACCACGTGCGCAAACTAAGCTAGCTTGTGACGGTTCACCACTGCCAAGAGAGTCTCATGATGTCCTGCCAAATTGTATATTTTGTATCTGACATTTTTATTACTTTAGTTTTCTAAAAATCTAATTCGTAAAATGCGTCTGTAGCATTTACATGTCCTGCCAATTTGTATATTTTGTATCTGACATATTTATTATTTTTCTAAATAACTAATTCGTAAAATGGGTCTGTAGCATTTACATTTGAAAGCCTGAATCCTCCTGTCCATTTCCACAGTGAGAATCCACCTCTCACAAATATTTATAAAGCAGACATTTCGTTCTGAGCTGTGGGTAAATGATGTTCTACTGTAGATCAGCATCACACCTGTCACTTTTATTACAAAGAGCATTTCTTGATGCCCAGTTTAGACTAAATGGTCGATTTTTAATCATTCACGCCTTGGTGTAGATTCAAACACGAGACCACTGTGCCTACCGGCGAGCGTGCTAAACATGTGCCACCAGATTCACTTGAGACACAGATGTAGATACGACTGCATGTTCTTGGAGCCGCGGATGAATGCTGGCTAAATGCTTGTCTGCTCACCCGAATTTTAAAGGTTCAAATTTACCCTCCTCCCACCACCCCCTCCACAAATTGACTTTAGCTCACAGGACGACCCAGCCTGGTACCAGGTTATGCCCTGGAATAGTAAAGTCGGCCGGCCATTTGCCGACCACATCATCATCGAGTGCATACTGGTCATTAACTTTTTCGACCCCAGAGAGTTCTTTCTTAAACTTGTTCAGCTGCTAATTATTGTACCTGAAAGTATTACATGTTTAAGTCTGAATGAGTTACAGAAGAGACTTTGTGTGAGAGAGAGAGAGAGAGAGAGAGAGAGAGAGAGAGAGAGAGAGAGAGAGAGAGAGAGAGAAAGGAGGGGAGGACAAGAGAAGGCCAGGGGGGAGGGGTTTATCTAACAGTCTGGAGACACTGAGCTTGTGTAGCAGTTATATGTTAAAGAATGATGCACATAAAGTATGTTGATTTTGGAGTGACCAATAAGATGAAGCTTAAAGGATCGACTTATTGCACCGGGCTTTGTCCCATATAGCTCAGTCTCCCACCGCAGAACATATAGCTGCCTGCCGAGAGCATCGCACAGAGTATAACCTCGTTACCTCCGTCGACTAACCCAAGGGATGTCCGTAAAAACTGCACTCGTGAACTGAATGACACCGCCGTGAAAGGACCGCTCAACCTCCAGAGTGCGAGCCAAACGACTTGAACACTTCGCCACAGAGACCCCTGGAGTGACCAAGAAACTATGGCGAGGTGTTTGGTACCCAGAGTGTTACAAAAATACATGTCTAACACTATATGAGCTATGCAGTAATCTTCTTCTTCTTCTTCGCGTTCACCAGCTTCAGACTCTGGCCGAAAGTTCTGGTTGTTTATCCACTTCTGGACTGTAGTCCTGTTCCAGAACCTGAGTGTTTCGTGTACATCTGTTTTACAGATCTAACTCATTTGTATGCAGACTGCTGGTTTCTTGCCTCTCAGGCAGATATACTCCGACTTCGAAGGAAGCTCTCAATTAGTCGACTCAAACGACATGCCTTTGGATAGGCAGTAGGTCTATTCTTGTTTGCCTATAACAGGGCCCCGGAACCCACACGGGGAGCTATGCAGTAACGACGTGAAGAGGGTCCTTCACTTACTTTACATATATGATATCACTGATAATCCCTCACTGATCAATTTCAGCATGCGAATCTCCAGGAGCTGTTCTCCCAGACACAAAACTTGCATAAGGACCTGCAAACCAGATTGCTGTAAACCATGCTGCCTTCCTCGCCGTCGATGCCAGTCGCTTAGCCCGGTACGACACAGACGGCGTTTCTTTGAACGTCCAGCCTGCAGTCCGTGCGACAGTGATCCTTGTGGGTCGTGTGATTCTTCTTGCTTACCTAAAAGTCGCATTTGCGTACCTCGAATTTGCAGCCCGTGTCAACCAAGACGAAGATTCTACAGAAACGGCGATTCCTGTGGCGGGAAAACCTGCTTTCCGCGAAGCTACTACCCATGTAGTCCCGATTACTCCTGTAAAAGAGACGCGTATTTCCCACGCACCTGCGAGCCGTGTGTCACAAAAAGAGACTACTGTCTGCCCAGGACGTACCTTCCACCCAGCCCGTGCTATCCTCGTAGCTGCAGGCCATGCTCTAGGCGGACGTGGAACTCACGCATCTCTTGTAGCCCGTGTCTTCCGTTGAAATGCGACCCGTGCTACCCACTAAAACGTGAGCCGTTCTATACATCCAGGAGGAGACTGAGTAACGATTGCTATGTGCCACGCACATGCAGCCCCTTGTGTTCCCCTATTGGAGAAGCGTGCAAGCCTTGTTATTCTACCGTGAGTCGTCGAAGATACTGCTCACCATGCGACGATGCCTCAGGTGAGAACACAGTTCCCTGTGTGTGTTCAGTGCTCGATGTTGGGGGGAAAAAGGGTGGTGGGGGGGGGGGGGGGGGGGTAAATGAACAGACCCACTGCTCCCAAACACGCTTATCGTAAAAGTCGGCTTACTGCGGGTTTGCTGAAATCGGGTGTGATATTTCGAAAAGGGTCCTATTCACTTTTCCCGGCCCATCTACACACTTTCTCAGCCTGATCTCAGTCAGAGGTGTGTCACATTGTACCGTTCTCTTCGAAAAAAGTCTATCGTGTGACCTGGGCTCAGGCTGTGGGTAGGGGGGTTTGGGTAAGGGCCAGTTCTATATGTTCTGTGGTCGTTAAGAATACGCGACATAGGCGTTGATGTAATTGGAGGCAAGACAAGATGACACCCCTCTGACGTAGAACAGTCTGAGAAAGCCTGAATAAAAGGTCAGCCAGCGTGTAGATGGACCAGGAAATGTGAATATGACCTCGAAAGGTGCTGATCTCGCAGCCTTTATGTAAACTACGAACGAACAAACGAACTTTACTTTCAAAGGGTTACAAATTTGGCACGCAGGCCCGCCTTACATTAGGCACTCATTTTTCAGAACACAACTGCATGTTTTCAATAAATGGTTGCAGAAAAAAATTTACATAATGAAAGCATGCATACACACATCATAGACTATCATACACACTACGAATTTACACGTACACTCTTATATGCCCGTACGTACACAGACAAAAGCACACCAATACATATCATACACACACACATGCTCATACAGACACACACAAGCCCACGGTTATGCGTACACATATATGCACTCAAACTTTGTATATATATATATATATATATATATATATATATATATATATATATATATATATATACACAAACACATGCACTTATACAAACACAAGCACACGTCCATACAGATACGTGTATCCAACTACAACACAATGTGCCAGCCGCCCTTACAAAGACAAACACAGAAGAAGAAATTAAATCGAATAGTCGCTTTGCAGAGTCAGCTTCTGGAGTGTGGAGTCATAAGGTCTTCATTTTGTCTTAGCCACGATTTTTAACGTGGAGTGGTTAGTTTAATTTCTTGCCGTCTTTTTTTTTAAAAAAATCCTACACCCATTTTTTTTTTAAAATACGAATATGGTCTGTTCTTAAGCTGTACGGGTCTTGAAAACACAAGCCAATTATGGTGACAGGGGAGCGGTTGGCTGAGTAGTTAAAAATTATAGGTTCCTATTCGGGAGACGCAGGTCCGAATTCTCGATACGGTGATGTATCTGCAATAACCAAGCTGCCCTAAACCTAGGGATAGAGACCTCATATCCTACTGCCAAATGGGGGAAAAGGCAAATTACTGCCGATATTTACTATTCTTGCCGTGTAGGCAGTATAATTAACATTATCACTGTGTGGAATTCACTTACGGTCATACAAGGATGGATTGTTAAACCCAGTTCAGCAAACAATGTAACCGTATATTGCTTTCTCTCGTGACTTAAGTCATGGAGTAAATAGGAGAAACAATCTTCGGAAGTCGGTTTCATGTCATGCAAAGCCTAATATCAAATGACCGGAATGGTCACTGTACGACAATCACAATGAAGTATGGCAAATAAAACTAATCACTACTAAATGGAACAAAAAGCCGGTTTCTGTTGACTTTGCTTTAGATAATTAGAATCTGAAGTCATTAGGATGTCAGGGTCCATGTTACTGGTACAGTTAGGCGGGCGCACGCACTCACACACTCAAACATGCACACACAGCCAGAGAGAGAAAGAGACAGACAGAGAGAGACAGAGAGTAAAAGGATCCTTTTCCCCGGCTTCAGGCGTTTTTGGCGTATAGGATTAGAGCTATATTTTATAGACCAATCCGTACTTGGTAGGTGATGTGTTCAACATCCTGCGAGCTGTCTTTACTTCCCAGGTCTCCACCGGCTACCCACTCAAAGCTGGGCTGACCTGGAAGCCAGAGTCTTTTTTAAATTTTTTATCCAGTTCTGTCAACGCCCCAATCCACGATCTTCCGATCGGCAAGCAAGCGTGAGAGAGAGAGAGAGAGAGAGAGAGAGAGAGAGAGAGAGAGAGAGAGAGAGAGAGAGATAGACAGAGAGGGACAGAGAGAGAGCAAGAGAGTATAAAAGTATCTTTTTTTCACGCCTCTAGGAGTATTGGGCATATAGGGTTAGAGCACTCGGTGTCTATGTGGTCAACATAAGCCGGCCACTTTTACTTCCTGTGTCTCTATCTAGTACCTACTGGGTCGACCTGGGAACCAAGAATGGTTTGTTTTTTTCTCAAGTCCGGCTCTGTCAGGACCCGAATTAACGATCTTCCGATCCGCAGACAAGCGAGAGAGAGCGAGAGAGACAGAGAGAGCGAGAGAGACAGAGAGAGAGACATAGAGAGAGACAGAGAGAGAGAGAGAGACAGAGAAAGCGAGAGAGACAGAGGGAGAGTCAGAGAGAGAGACAGAGAGAGCGAGAGAGACAGAGAGAGAGACAGAGAGAGAGAGCGAGAGAGACAGAGAGAGAGACAGAAAGCGAGAGAGACAAAGAGAGACAGGGAGAGTGAGAAAGACAGAGAGAGATAGACAGAGAGCGAGAGAGACAGAGAGAGAGAGACAGAGAGCGAGAGAGAGAGCGAGAGAGAGCGAGAGAGAGGGCGAGAGAGAGCGAGAGAGACAGAGAGAGACAAAGAGGGAGCGAGAGAGACAGAGAGAGAGCGAGAGAGACAGAGAAATAGCGAGAGAGACAGCGAGAGAGACAGAGAGAGAGCGAGAGACAGAGAGCGAGAGAGACAGAGAGAGAGAGAGACAGAGAGAGACAGAGAGCGAGAGAAAGCGAGAGAGAGCGAGAGAGACAGAGAGAGCGAGAGAGACAGAGAGAGACAGAGCGAGAGAGACAGAGAGAGAGCGAAAGAGACAGAGAGAGAGCGAGAGAGAGCGAGAGAGAGAGAGAGAGAGCGAGAGAGACAGAGAGAGCGAGAAAGACAGAGAGAGAGCGAGAGAGACACAGAGAGAGCGAGAGAGACAGAGAGAGAGAGAGCGAGAGAGACAGAGAGAGAGAGAGAGAGATACAGAGAGAGAGAGAGAGAGAGC